CACACACACACACACACACACACACACACACACACACACACACACAAATTATGGTAGCTGAGGAATAAAACCTAAGGTTTCCCTCCAGCATCCACATGCATGTGTGCACCTGGGAGGTGATGTAGGAAGTCATCATGAAGCTAGCTGGAGCTACAAGACACTCTGCTGATCCAAAAACAAAATGAACAATAAAAAGCGGGTTAGATGCCAGGACAATTCAGAAAAATAAATCCTTGCAAACTATTAAAATGGGTCACATAGAAAAGAGAAAACAGGGATGATAGATAGTTCTGTGGGTAAAGGAACTTGCTGCCACACCTGAAGACCTATGTTCAATCACTGGGACCCATGTAGCAGAAGGGGAGAACTGACTTGCACTTGATGTCTTCTGACCACTACATGTATGTGGTGATATTATGTCCCCAATATATTGTGCACTCTAATAAACTTATCTGGGGTCAGAGGACAGAACAGCCACTAGAGAGACATAGAGGCCAGAAAATGGCACACACGCCTTTAATCCTATCACTTGGGAGGAAGAGATCTATCCCGATCTCTGTGAGTTCAAGGCCATACTGGAAACAGCCAGGCATGGTGATACACGCCTTTAATCCCAGGAAGTGATGGCAGAAAGCAGAAAGGTATAAGGTGTGAGGACCAGGAACTAGAGGCTTTTAGTAGCAGTTCAGCTGAGATCCATTTGGATGAGGACTCAGAGGCTTCCAGTTTGAGGAAACAAGATCAGCTGAGGAGTTGGAGAGGTGAGGTTGGCTGTGGTTTGTTCTGTCTCTCTGATCTTTCAGAGCTCACCCCAATACCTGGCTCCTGAGTTTTTTATTTAATAAGACCTTTTAAGACTCTTGTTACACATGTACATCATGATATTCTCACATTCACAGACAAAATAAAAATGCAATAAAAATTTGGGTAGTATAAAACATGAAAATAGAATCTTAATGAAAACCTCTCAATTATAGAAGCTGAATGCAGTTCTAAGAATTATGAGTGCATGGGCGGTGATGGCACACGCCTTTTATCCCAGCACTGGGGAGGCAGAGCCAGGTGGATCTTTGTGAGTTCGAGGCCAGCCTGGTCTACAGAGCGAGATCCAGGAAAGGCACCAAAACTACAGAGAAACCCTGTCTCAAAAGACCAAAAAGAAAAAAAAAAGAATTATGAGTACAAACAGTTCCCACTATATATTAATATAATTCCTATAGAATTCTATATTGAGGCAAATCAAGGGCAGAATAAAAACATGTAAGAAATTATCTAAATTATAAAAGAATCACAAAGAAAAGGAGAAAAGGGAAGGAGATGCCACTATGCAATATCAGTAAGGGTTTTTGATGGTTGTTTTTGTTTGTTTGTTCTGTTTTATTTTTTATAATGTAAATTACAGGAGTGGCCTCTAATTTGACAGAACTAAGGCTGAAAGGGATAGCCACTTTCACTATTGGGGTCTTCAGCATGAGATCTCCCAGCAACTGAATGCAAAGTACCCCTCAACTTTAGACAGGACTGACTCAAAGTCTGAAAAGCCACTGCAAGATCTGATGCCCCACCCTCTCACAAAACACAGGGACTAATTGAAACTATTTAGTAGAGTGGGTGCTCTAGCATACCTAAGAAATAAATCAATAAATCCACTGGGAGCGAGGGGGGGGAAAGGTGAATTAAGAAAAACTGGCAAGTTAACAGCTTCTCAGGCATCAAAGCTTTCCCACCTGGTTAAGCTCAGTGGGCCTCAACAAACAAACAAACAAACAAACAAAAATATCATCAACAACAAAAAGTCATCAGTGTGGAAAGGGTACTACACGTCAGGAGGAGGGAGGAGGTAAAATGAGGTATATAGGACATTAGAGAAGAAAGTTATAGTAATCAGGATGCACATTATACATGTATGAAGTTATCAAAACACAATCAAAGGAAGAAGAAATGGGGTCCAGGAAGCAGAGGATCTGAAGAGAAAGGTAGTAACAGCAGACTCTAACTTAGGGAGAAGGACCAGAATGACTGCTACTTAGCAGGAAGAAAGCATTTCAGGTTGGAGCAGGAGGGTTGGCCTCTCTTGCCAGATCACCAATAAAATAAAATGGAGCAGACTTCTTACAAGATGCAGCTGACTGTTCTGATAAGAATTTCATGGCTCTATCAGGTAAAGTAGTGGCAATTATAGTGAAAACTAAGCTAGAGGAAAGCAACTCAAATTTTAATTCCAAGGGAAAAAAAAAAAACGGTTCATACCTTTAAGTAATAGGGACACATTGTGTGTGTGTTTGGGGGGAGGGGGTAATTGTGTGTTTGCATGTTTGTGTGAGAACAAGCGAGCATATGCCATGATTCATGTATAGAAGTCATGAGCACCTCTGGTGGCAGTCCTTTCTTTCCATGTTGGAGACAGTCTCTTTTGTTTGCACTATGTACATTAGGCTAGCTGGCCTGTGAGCTTCTAAGATTCTCCTGTCTCTACCTCACATCTCCACACATCTACCTCATTTCACACTACCGTCACAGACTTGCACTACCAGGCCTAGCTTTTAAGCAGATTCTAGGGATTCATTCCGGTCTTCTTAATTTTGCACAGCAAGGGCTTCACCTACCAACCATCTCCTGAGGGCACAATCTGTTTTTAAATGATGAATTTTTACTTCTTTGATTTAAAAAAATCACTTTTAAACTAAAGTGGTAATGTTAGGGAAAGGTAGAGATGACATCTAGGCATGAAATTGGCTTGTAAGTGGCAGTGCTGAGAACAGAAACTCAGCAGAAAGCAGTCCCCAAGGAACAGTGCTGCAGGCCTTCCCATCTCTCACCCTGGGGTTAGCTGTAGCCTCTCCTCTTACCTTCTGCACCAAACACCTCTCCACAGTGAGAGCAGAAGAAGTGCTCTGGGTGCCACGTCTGGTTCATTGCTGTCAGCACTTTCTGGAAACAGGACACATGCAGAGGTATTAGAAGGCTACAGAGGTGTAAAACATGTCCAGTGTTCCTAATGAGTGCTCAGACACTACATGGAAGCTGGCAGGGGTAGGGAGTTACTCACATCCATGATGGGAGAAGCACAGTAGGCACAGCGTGGAGAAAACAGATGGTGGTAGTCCTTGGAACAGTAGGCCAAGCCACTCCGCTCAAAGAAGGGACTGGAGCCAATCTCCTCCTTGCAGTGAGTGCAGACAAAGTGCTCTGGGTGCCAGGATTGCCCCATAGCATGGATCACCTGGGGATATCACAGAGCCTGACATGGCAGTGCAGCAGAATGCACCTCTAGACCCCACTCTGTATGCTGCATTCCATGTAGACAACACCTCCTGAGTTATATACTAGCAAGGCCCAGACCTAGGCTACACTAAGGTCATCTATGACCATTTCTTAAAGGATAGTAAAAGTGATGTGCCATATTGACTAATAAAGAAGCCAAGCAGATTTTACTCCTCAGCTCTGAGCACCTTGCTTCTCAACCTTCCAGAGTCAAATTGGAAAGCCCTGTACTGTGTGGATTTGGTGATAATGATTCAGAGCAAGTCTCAGTATCTCTTTTTAAGGTTACATTTAGCTGACATCGGAGTGAATAAATTTAAGTCCAGAAATGTCTGAAGAGAGCGAGCAGTGAGAAAGGTCATCTCAGTAATGGCAGTGAATAAAAATGATTAGGAATTCAAACTCAGAAGCTAGACCATCCTGGACTCAAATGTTCCCTTTGCTTCTTTCTTACTAGACCTAGGTCTTACCAGCCAATGTCTCTGAGCTCTTGACTTCCTTGTTTTTGCAAAAGACATGAAAATAAAACCTCCTTAAAAAGTTTAAGCTGGGCAGTGGTGGAACACACCTTTAATCCCAGCACTCAGGAGGCAGAGCCAGGTGTATCTCTGTGAGTTTGAGCCTGATCTACAGAGTAAAATCCAGGACAGGCACCAAAACTACACAGAGAAACCCTATCTCAAAAAAATAAAAAATAAAAAATAAAAAATAAAAAAAAAAGTTGATTCAACTATTAAATGCAGAAATACTTACAGAGCACTTAGCTCAGGGTCCAGAATAATATAAGCAGTTGGTGGTTTTTTAACAATTACTAAAATATCTTAGAATACAAAGAGAGAGAGCTATTCTTGGATATCCACAGACACAGACCGATTCTACCAACATCCTGGATCACCCCACCTTCCCAGCAATTGGCTTCTGGCAGGAAGCACAGTGGCCCTTAGGAACCGTGGCAATCCCAAGATCTTGCAGTTCCTGTTCCAAACCCCCAAGCATTGAGTCCAATGATGCCTTGTGGTCCTGCTTGTCTGGTAAATGTTTCTTGCTGGCATCTGCGGTCACTGGAACCTTGGACAAGGAAAGAACCATGAATAGGAATCAGCCTGTGTGCACCTTTATTTTTTTTTTTGACATTTGCCGTACAACTCATCCCTTCACCTCTGATGGCTGGTCTTGTTGTCTTCCCCTAACCTTCCTTCAAGGAACTGGAGACACCAATAAAAACACTTTTATTTCCACTTCATTTTAAAATTCTTGAGCAAAATGAAATCTGATCATTTGTCATTTATTTGTAAACCTTCTGTTTGCCAAAAAAAAAGAAAAAAATCGAGTAGATGAAGATTATACTCTTTGTAGCTCTTACAGTGACCCTAGGTGAAAATTAGTCATCTCTCCTTTTCATTCATTTATTAATTGCCAAGCACCTAATTCGTCACAGTCAGTATTCCAGGAACTTGTTATGAAGCAGTATATAAGCATACCAAGGTTCTAGCCTCTTAGAATTTTCATTCTGTGACTGGCAGGTAATCAACATATTCTGCATGTCAGATAAAGAAAAGTTGTACGTTATATAGGAGATAGTTGTGATGGAGGGTGGTATGGTGAATATGAACTGATTTAGGAGAAAGCACCTCTGAGGAAGTAATACGTGAGTATATGTACGTAAAGACCCAGATATACTGATATTAGTGAGATGGCCATTCCTAAGAGAAAGAAGGCCCAAATGAAACCATTTGGCACACTGGAAGAAAAGTTACAAGATCAACAGGGTCAGAACAAAAGTACTAAGACTTAACATACAGAAGTGTGAGGAGAAAAGCAAAAGGTCACCTAGGTCCTTTATGGCAAAAGTTGGATTTGTATCCTAAAGTGATAAGTGAGACTGAAGGGAGGCAAATCTGAGGATGAGGGAGCAGATGTACAATACTTTGTAATGATTTGTGTAATGTTTAAAGCCAGTGTTAGGAGAAAAAGTAGTGTGGTTGCATTGATTCGAAGACAGATCCAAAATCACTCAAGTCAGTTTTACACACACACACACACACACACACACACACACACACACACACACACACAGCCTACTTTTTTTCCTTCATCATTTCATGTCCTTTTCTTCATGAGCACCTACGTACATAATGTTTATCTCATCATACAGGTACAGTGGCTCTCCACTGCCTACCTGCTGCGGGCCGCAGGAATA